AAGGTGGGATGTTTTCTTCCTTGCCCAAGTGTTTCCAATATCACCTTGTCATTGCGTGATTGGGAACAAAGTCAGTGCGCTTTTTGGATGGTTAGAGATCCGCTAGGCAAGGCTATGAAAGCACCGGCTGTTGTCACTTTGCTTTGGAGTGCGCAATAACTTTTTTTCTGTTCCGGACATGAGCTCCATGTCCAGCAACTCACCTCCGACGGATAGCTCACTTTGCAGGCTCAACCATGAATACATAAAAAACGGCTAAACAGGAGTAGTTTACTGCCACTCGACCACGGTATTATGGAACTCCTAAATGGATCTTTGAGAAGTCATCCGCATACTTCAACAGGAGGTTTTAATCGTGGTGTTTGGGATAAACCTTTAAATAAGTGAAACGATGCGTTTGAAACATTATTGCAGGTTTTGTGCGTGAAAGTATGGCAGATGATATCATTCTGGAACCGAAGTTAATCGCAAGGGAGTATCTGCGAAAGTGGTTCACACTGGATATTATCTCATCTCTACCACTTGATTACATCCTTCTGGCCTTTGACAACGGCACCGAGCAAATTGCACAAGCTGGTATGTTTTTTTGCAAAAGCAACATCCATCCACCCTTGCTGGTTGTCTTTCATTCCCACTAGATGGGTCGCTGCTTGATCAACTTCCGTTAACCCTGTTTGAAGCACTTATACCGTTTAAAACTGAGGCCAACCCTAAAAGTAGCGCTAACTGTAGGGAACAGACTACCGGAAGGCAAAATAAGCATCACTTACTGTGTGTCATTAAGACTTGTGGCCAGTTGATAAACGTCGAGAAGTTGCGTGGCTTTTGCAAAATGCAAAATCTCACTTCATCTTTTGTATTCTTAGGTCAGGCGCTAAAAATCTTTAGGCTTGCTAAATTGCTTAGCCTTTTGCGCCTCTTTCGTTTGTCTCGACTTTTGCGATATGTTGGTGAATGGGAAAAGGTAAGTCCAGGCTACCAGATGCTACTCATGTTTGTCGTGTTTCATTTTTTCCAACACGCAGCTGGACAGAAATTATCATCATTATCTGTAGGTTTTTGAAAGAGGCGTGTTTGATTTACTTGTCGAGG